GACCGCAGGTGAAGAGCAGGCCTCCACCACGTGGGACCTCGCGCAAGTGAGGCGAGCGGAGAGGCGACGTTCTGATCTTCCGTTCGGGAGTGAGGACGTAGCACTCATTGAGCCCGAGCCCTACTATGACAGCGAGACGTTTTGGTGGAAGATTGAACAGTGCCAGACCACGAATGAGAGATCAACCGTGCCGGGAAAAGCCTTCTACTTTGAGCAATGCCGAAGTCACCTCCTGGATTCCGAGAGTCTCAGGAACGCCCAGTTTGGGTCTTATTGCCCTGGGTGCGCCTTCAAGGAACAATGGAGACAATACCCCGAAGTGGTGTCCTGGGATGACTGGAAACGGCTGGAGCAGAATTGTGCCGCACGCGCGGTGCACCTCTACCAGACCTACTTCATTGACGTAGGGACCGGTGAGGCAATTTGCGACCCAGCCAGCAACATCAAGAACTTCATCCAGCACTGCGCAACCGCAAGTCGGTCCAATCTGGCGAAAACTGTTTCGTCTCTGGGTGCCCTACGGGTTCCGGTGAACATGGCTATTGAGTATTGTCAACAAGGGCGAGCAAGACACCTCGGATGGGGACGCGCTCTCTCTTACAATGGTCACGTTTGCTATGTCGCCTATTACGAGAATGCCGCCTATGCAGGGTTCATGAACTGCTTGTTCGCCCGCGAAGAGATCACTGAAATGTGTCGGGGGTCTCCTGATCCCAGTGAAGAACTCTTGGGCGACATCATCGAGATTGCGACCGGGCTGCTCGTTGTGGCGCTCAGATTTCCCGGTATGTTTCCCAAGTGGGGGGGCAAGCATGTCATTGAAGCCTGCCTTCGAGGAATCGAAAGATCTTTTCATCGATACGCGGCTGTGGAATCAATCACATTATTCCCCACCCAGAACCGGAAGAGGAGACGGCCAGCGGACATCACTCCGGAGGAACAACAAGGCATTGAGGAAATCACACCACTCATCTCGTTCAACTTCTTCGCTGACCCAGAGCAGACGAGGATGGTGAGGCCGTGCAAACTCAGATACCACAACCCGTTGAGGAACCCGAATACCATGCAGCGCCCGAAGAGGATCCCGCGGTTTCCATTGCTACGGGGGAGGAGCCAGAGGAGGAAGATTTAGAGCAGGCTGATCCTTTGGGAGGACTCGATGATGCTCAATCGGAAGTCTCTGAGCTCGTCCGACTGGCCATGAATGGATTCCGGCACATACAGGACCTCATTACTCGAGACGACATTTGCTTGTCATGTGGTGCGATTGGCGATCATGGTACTTTCAACTGTAGAGTTTATCCGGCTAATCCCGAACAGATCGCTCTTGGCGTGGGCCTGTTAGACTCCTTTTTCCATGGTTACAGGCCACCGCAACGCGGGTCCTCACAGCGAAGCACCGACATGGAGGTTGATCAAGTTCATGAAGGAGATGAAAGGATTCACGGGCCCCCAGAAGGAATCAGGGTGCCAGGATCTCATCTACCTGACGATGGTCGTCCAGTTCCGACGAGTGCCACCCGTGAAACAGTGGAGAACGATG